GAGGAAAGAGATTGAAAAAAAAAAAAAAGAGGGAGAGAGGAAATGTTTGTTGGTTTGTCACCAGGATTCCACCTGAGGAGATTGTATCTTTGAAGGTCAGAATCTAATCTTTCATCTCAGCTTGGGTCAGAACCTGGCTGGCCTCCCAGTTTTTGTAAGTAAAGGTTTTATTGGCACACAGCCATGCCCGATCATTTATCTAATGTCTACCTTTTCTTTCTTTCTTTCTTTCTTTCTTTCTTTCTTTCTTTCTTTCTTTCTTTCTTTCTTTCTTTCTTTCTTTCTTTCTTTCTTTCTTTCTTTCTTTCTTTCTTTCACGTCTGTCTTTTCTATGACAACTAGCTGGGTAGCTGGACAGAGACACAATGTCCTGAAAAGCCTCAAACATCACTGCCTGGCTCTTTACAAGAAGCTTACATTCTCCCACCTGCAAGAAACTGACTCACATAGGTATCCTCCAGCCGGCTGTTTAAGAAATACTTTCCTTTCTTTTCTTTGTTAAAAAGTAGTGGGAAACCTCTGCCCTGCCAGGTGAGATCAAGCCCTAATAATTTTGAAATCCTGATACAGAAGTTGGAGTAACAACCATTTCAAAGTTTGGAGCCTTTTTAAAAAACAATTTCACCCCCTCACAATGGGGTCTTAAATTTATCTTCGGAGAAGCTCCCCACAAAGGTAAACCCGTTACCCAATCAGTGCTCCTGTGGATACTGGGAAGTCACTGACAAACATCACAAAAGTTTCTATCGAAGTCATCAGTCTAGGGTCCAGGTCTCAGGGGCCTGAGGTGGCGGGAAAGGGAGAGGCTTGGTGTAAACGTGGGGTGCACAGAGCTGCACATGGGTCCTGCTTCTCAAGGAGCCAGCATCTGTAGGAAATCCAGAGTAAGATGCCACAGGAGTGGGTGGGAATGAGCATCTTGCTCTGGAGAGGGACCGTGCACAGGAATCACGTGGACTTGGGGTAGCCCAAACTGGACAAACTCCAAGTCTGCCAAGTTGGGTGGGTGTGCCACCACACAGCTGGTACTGAAGGTATTCATTCCAGTGTGAGTCTCCTGATGAGGCCCACGCCACAAAGCCAGCCCCCTGAGGCTGTGTGGGGGTTTTCTCTGAAGTGGATATTCCATAATAGCAATCGAGCTTGCTCCTGGCCAACACAAGAGGGCCTCTGTGATGATGAGACTTTTCACTCTTAGAATCTAGTGTTGGGTGACGGATTTGGGGTGCAGCAATGCCTCGGACATCTTTGTGTATAAGAATAAGCTGGTTCCAGACGCATGGAGGCAGATGCACAGCTAAACGAGGGGCAGCCCTCTTAGGAGACCCTGAGGTTCTCAAAAATGCCACTGTGGATGTTTCACCTCCTGTTAGCCCTCAGCCTTCCATAAAACTTTGTCCCAAAGAGCAGCCTAGCCTTTGCTGCGCTATGAAGAATTAAATTCCCATCCCCATCTTGGGAGGAGAGGCGGCGGGGAGCGCCTCAGAGTCAGAGGGGTGGCAGCAGCCACAGGAGACCCCGGAGGTGGCAGCTGTGCCCAGGGGAGCACTTCGGAGGCGCATCCTGGAAAGATGCTCTGGGGACCTCTGGGAGTGGAAGCCAAGGGGCTGTCCTCTCCTGTGCTGCTCGCAGGCAGTGAAAGTCATCATTTGGGTCTGAGAGGAAATGTGATCCGAATTTACACACACTGGCTGGGTGAGACTGGAGCAGGATTTCCTGGGGACACAGTTCTCAGGCACGTCCATAGACGTTTCCCCTGCTCATTCCCTCCTGGTTTGATGGAAATAGAGCTTTCAAACCCAAATGTTAACAGGGTCCACCGTGTGCATGGCACCAGCGTCCCTCAGATATAAATTATGGGTAACATTTTTGTGAGTGCCTACATTGTCTGTCTGTAAAAATGCCCTGAGATTATGTCTCCTGTCCCTTCTCGCTCTCTCCCTTTTTAAGGCAAATTCCAGACATCGTCATTTCAAACCTACATAATCCCGTATACATTTAAAAATGACATTTTCCTTACATAACTAATGCCATCATCAACACAAACAAACTTATCAACCATTTCTTGGCGCCATCTAATAGCCAGTCTGTATTCAAATGTTCCTGATTAATATGATATCAGATCTTCACCATCACAGGAAGAGGGATTCTCATATATTTTTTTAAAGCTATAAAGAAAGTACTTTTATGTCAGCAGAGGCTTTGACAACAGGGTTTTTTTCCCCCACTTGTTACTTTGACGAGAGCATTTCCTTTATGCAGGAGCACAGATTTTTAGTCTTGGGTCTCAATTTTTTTTTTTTGCTGTGTCTCTCTCTTTAGTTAATGCAACAGAGCTCATTCAACTCACCCAGCTTCCAACACGCATCCTCTGCTGGCCTACTATCCAGGATGTATAAGTCAAGCTACTGATCTGTGGATTTATAAAGGCTTAAAATGTGAAAACAGCCCCTCCTGTGTATTTCCTAACTTCTGCTTTACCTCCCAACTGCATAAGTATTATTACTTTTTTTCCTTTAGTCTAACAACTTAAAACATGAATATGGAATTACTGTTCCCATCCTGCTTTGCTCATGTCCCTTGAATCTTTGACCATTTTATTGATCTATGTCAAAGTTATGGGTAGTGGCTCTGCTCTCTGAGTCCTGTTTAACTGTTGGGGGTTTTGTAAAGGAAAAATGTAGTTTTATGCTATGGCTCCAAAAAACAGCTGGGTTATGTGAGTGGAATGCTGAAGGTTGTAAATTATTTCCTAGATTATATGCAAGGCTAAGTAGCAGCAACGGAAAACAGCCAGAATGCAAAAATCTTACTACTTACTGTCTGCCAGGAGCAGTACATGTTTTCAAACATTATACAATTAGTATATTCATACATGTATTATCTCTTCTTCTAAAACCTGGTTCACTGCATGAGTTTTGGATTTGCTGACTAATCTGGATCAACCCTCCATACCTTCCTCCATAGAAACAAAATTTAAATAGTATCGATCACCAAGTGGGTTATGAACTTTGCGAAATTGCATGTAAAACACTGTATGTAAGTACAACTGTGAACATTTTTCTTGGGAGAGATTTCCAAAACTTTCATCATGGTTTCAAAGGAGCCTAAGAAAACACTAAGGAACCTCTGGTAAGGAAAAAATTCTAATGGGTTGTCACAACAGCAATGTTTACAGGGGCCAGAGGTCAACCTAAATGAATGAAGTGGATGAGGTATTAGGCAATAGGGAGTGGTAGAAACTGGTACCTTCACAAATACCTTCACTCCAACTAAATAGAGTAGCTAGCTACCTTTAAGCTCCAGATCACCATTGGTATGTGGGAACACAGGTTTAAGTGTTTACTGGTCTTACTCCCCACCACAACCGCCCCCCCCCCTCCACCAGAGGAAGCCAGAAATCTGGATGCTTACATGAAATCTTCCAAATTTTAAATGCTGATAATAATTTCAAGTTAAATAAACAAACATAGTGCATGGCTCTATCTGTTCTATCTGTTGTGATGTTTGCCTTAACACTACTTGCATAGAGTATTTAATAACTAGAATTCTGATACAATATTTGCTGATTGTTAATTGATAACATCCTAGTGTCATTAATGCCTTAATAAATGAATATTAAACATGTAAAAAATAAAAAAAATAAAAGAGACTAAAAGTTAAAAAAATTAAAAAATAAACAAATATTGTATGATACCAACAACTGGTCTGCTGACTTGGGCCTTAGGCTGCAGGGCCTAACAAAAGCCAGGCATTTAAAAACATAATTAAATTCATAAATAGGTATAATGCTTTATTTAGATCTGTAATAAGCCAACAACACCAAGACCATTTATGAACAAGGCTCCCAAGGGATTCTAGTCGGATGATTTGGCATTTGAAAACTTTAATGGCCAAATCTATAGCAATGCAACTGCTGAATGCAGCGGATCCTGACATCCACCCTTCCTTCCCCAGCCAATGGCCAGTACTCACCTAGGTCAATCCCAGGTCTCCTTAGTGGCAGTGGAAAAAATGTCCCAGAAAAGGACATGTCAAGAATCCTAATCTAGACCATTGAACCACTACAGTACACTTGAAACTAATACAAAAAATAACATGGAATGTAAACTGTTACAGAAAAATAAGAATCCTAATTACATAGTTATATAAAACCTTGGTTGTCAAGCTGACAGCACTAATAGATTGTCATGCCAATTTTGCTTATTGCCAGAATAAGGTAAGTACAAGAAACTATGAAATGCACAGGGAAGTTTACCAGAACCAGACAAGTATCTTTTGTAAACCAAATTAATCTCCATCTATATAAGAAATCTTGCTCTTTGAAGGGAATCTGCTCTATAATGATCAGCAAGGGAAAAATAATTTCCAAACTTAACTGCGTCACAAGATTAGATTTAAAAATACTAGGCTTTTAAAATATGGTGCAAACCTATAATTGAACCTGTCCCACAGCATGTGGCTGCTGGCACCCTGGGACAATTTGCAGGGCTGGTACGTAGCAAGTTCTGAGTTCTGTGGAGGATTCCAAGTGGGTGAGGAGAAGGGGGAGAGGACCCTGAAGGCAGCTGCTGAGAGGACCGAGGGCAGGGCGGGCTGCAGTGGGGAAACCAACGTGTGAACTATGGAAAACATGATAAAAACTGACAGCCACATGTCGCTGAGAACACTGGCTGACATTTCAGTGAAAAACAGAGCTTGCCTTTTTTTTTTTTTTTTGTCACCTTCCCTCTCCCTCTCCCTCTCCCTCTCCCTCTCCCTTTTGTGCCCTGGATACAGTTTTACTTATAATATGTTTGAACATGGTCATATGAACATTTGAGCTCTGGTGGACAGTACTCTAGGCACAGCCATGCCACAAAGCAATGCCACTTTGTGAATAATGGAATATCTCCACTCACGCGATTATACACTTTCCAAGGAAGGAGTGTGAGAGAGTGTGTGAAACATCAAATTCATTTTGATTTTCCCCATAACTAGAAAAGATCGATTTAAGGGACCTGTGATCATGCTGGATACAATTAGTGGTAAAATGACGAGCTTCAGCATCCTCATTAGGATTTCTCCAGGAAAGGCGAAGTAGAACTTCTCCAGGTTAGAGAGCTTGCTGTACTCTCGAACCAAGACGCCTATGCCAATCCCTAAAAAAGAAAAAAACATTGTTGAGTTCTCTTGTATAAATTTCTATGGAAAAATACTCCCCCCAAATGCCAATTTTAATGACAAGTTTAGATAATCTAAAAAAATTGGGTTTAATTTATTTTCTTCTTCAACCATGTTTATTATAATGACAAAACATCACAAAATATTATAAGAAAATAATCATCTTAGTCAACCCAATATAACTTTTGTTTTTATACACCAACCTTATTCTTTGTCTAGCTTAGATAGCTTATGTATTTTTATAGTTTACATAACTGTTTTCATTTTCTCCTATTTTATCATAATTTTTATTAAAAAAAACTCTGCTTATGCAACTTTTATAATTTGAATAGCAACATAAGATTCTGTTGGTTTGATATATTTACCATATTGTTGAACAATTATGTTCTCTAGTGCCTTGCATTCTTTCAGATCTTTCTAGATGATGATGTGCTCAAGTGTGTGTGGTCAAGAGATTTTTACAAGTTTCTAATCCTGGACATTTAGGCTTATTATGTGAAAAGGGGAATGTTTAATATCAAGGCATGTTATACATTCTCTGAAAGCTTGCCTTATCTACATGAAATCCTTCTGTTGTGATGACTTGGATAACTAAAAATCACAACTTTTAAACAATCTTCTTTACCCTCTTCCAAATGGTTCCAATAAACTGCCCTTTGATACCACATTCTCCATAAACCCCATTCAGAATCCTCTCCTTTTAAGACCAAGAAATAAAATGGGCTGGGATGACTAATGCATCACCTTCTGAGGATGACAGGCTAATTGGAGGTAAAATGATGAAGGAGCAAGAAAATTCCAGGAGGATATAACTGGATATGCTAATTTACAAATGTGAAAATTTAGAGTTGTTTGGGCACAGTTAAGAACTCCAGGGCAATGAAAAGAGATGTGAATTATAATCAGGATTAGAGTTTTCATTTAAATTCAGGTATAAATCCCATACCTAGTAGACCAAGTAGACATTTGTGTAGTAACCTTATTCTTAGCTTAATCTAAAAAAAAAATGTTTTATTGATTTTTCACAGAGAGAAAGAGAGAGGGATAAAGAGTTAGAAACATTGATGAGAGAGAATCATCAATCAGCTGCCTCTTCCACACCCCCTACTGGGGATGTGCCCGCAACCAATGTACATGCCCTTGACCAGAATCGAACCTGTGACCTTTCAGTCTGCAGGCCGACTCTCTATCCACTGAGCCAAACTGGTTTCGGCATTCTTAGCTTAATTTTATATTCCCACATATTTTACTTTTGCTTTCATCTCCTTATTTTGTGTATACATTACTGATTTCTGATCAGCCACTTTAAATTATTTTGGGAACAAATATAGACATAAACATTTTTCCAAAATGTAGCTAAAACAAAAAAAAAACAAACAAAAGAGAGACTTTATTATCAAATCCATTTGGTTGGTATTTCAAAACCTAGTGTTAGAGACTCCTGAGTAATTAAGGTATACCAAGGGTTCAAAATATTTTAAATGAATTTAAAAAGCTTTTTGGGCTCACTTTCTACTTAATAAATTGCTTATATTCAGCTGTTCTATATGGAACACACCTACATTATGCAGTAAGGATACTCTGTAATGCTCAGTGTTTTAAAAACAGAAACTAACCAAAGAGACATTTTTTTTTCCTCTCATACTGTTTAGGTTCCTTCAAGTAAATTTCTGGCTGGTATGTCAAAGAGAGCTCTGTATGTAAAAATAAAGGAGATGTGTCTGTGCTCAAAAACCAGTCACAAAAGCACTCTGTTGAGTAGCAAAGAACTCAAAGTGTTCTGACATTAGGGTTTACAGTGCTAACAATTAACTGTGCTTCTAATCATCTCCGCCCCAAATGAATGCAGGGCAGTGAGAAAGAAACGTGCCTGCTTTTCCAGCCTTTAGCCAGATACGGGTTTTCATGGCAGAGATAATAGAGTCACCACAAGGAGTCATTTGAAAGCAATCAAAGGTGACAAACACTATAAATAGGTTACTGTGCTTAGTAATGAAAGCTTTCTTTCAAGCTTGTGCTTGAGTTATTACAAATTGTATTCCAGTCTTCCCTCTCCCTCTCCCTCTTCTCTCTCCTTCTTCCTCTCCCTCTCCCCCTTTCCCCCTTCTTTCTTTTGTTTACTGAAAAGAATATAAAAACCAAGTGAGACCTGGAGAAGCAGTGGGGGCGATTCACTCTGAGCCACAAATGTCACCTCTGGGATCCTCAAGTATAGGAAGTGGTTGGTGAATGACCAATCCTCAAGTATAGGAAATGGATGTGCTTTATTTTGATCTCAATCACGTTTGGGAAAAATTAGATGCGAGATAAGAAAAATCACTGGAAGATTTTTTCCAGGTTCTACGATGAGGTCAGGATTTTCACAGGGCACAATCTTCCCCTATCCTTTTCCAGAGACAAAACCTTGGACTAGATTAAGGAGCATGGAGAGGTCTCCCGATCTAAAGAATGCTGGGAATAAGTGTCTGTCTGAGGGTTCACAGGTCCGTTCCACATGGTAGGGTCCCTCCCAGAGCTAGAGAAGAAGCTCAAGATTAGGCATTGCTCTCTGAAGGCCTTCAGCAGGGCCCGCAAGGAAACCCAAAGGTAAAATTGGTACTTAGCCCCTGAAAATACCAGGAACTGCCTTCCGGGCTGCCTTCCTCCACACAGGAAAGAAAATCCCAAGCAGGCACTGAGGCAGCTAGGGAAGAACACAGTGTTGGAAGGACAGGCTTGAATTTTGCTTCCACCACTTACAAGGTGTTAACCTTCCCCAGTTGTCAAGTGGTCAAATGAGAGGTAGGGGCAAAAGGGTTGGATTAGATGCCTTCAAAGGCCCCTCTTCATGCCTAAAATGCTGTGATCATCCCAGCCTGGGTGTCCTCAACTTTAACATGGGATCAAAGGGGCAGCTCATTAGCTCCAAGAGAACTGGCCGTGCTTTCTTCAGTTTTTACACCAAATGTTACGTCTGCTGGTAAACAGGAAAGGGAGAAATTAGGGAGGAAAGCAATTAAGATCTTAGCTAGAGATTTTTTTTCTTTAAGCTCATGTTCAAAAATTTAAGCTTAAAAGAGAATATGCTATCTCTTCATGTCCATGTGGCCCCAAACAACTGTTAGTTCAAGAGCCTTATCTTTGAGATAATGTGTAACTCCCACCCCCTCATCCCTGATGACGTTTATAAAAAATGGTTTTTTAAAAAAAAGTTAAAATAATTATTGTTCAAGAAATAATTCTGGCAATCAAAATAAAAAAAAAGTAATGATTTCATGAATCTATCCAGTTCTTTAACCACCCCCTCACCCCAATTTCCAGGCCCTACCTACCCAGACTTCATTCTTATATATATATATATATATATTTTTAATGAGTTATAACAATTTAATCCAGGGATAGTAGTTGATTTGCATTTGATTCATATTCATGGAAATAGCATTGTTTCCATTCTAGGATATTTGCAGTAAGGAGATTAAAACCTTCTGTGATTTTTAATCAAAGTCTTAGAATAGTGCTGTGATCCACAGATTAATTTTGGCTTGGTTAAACAAGAATTATTGGCAGAGGAAAAAAATATTTTTAACCATTACTTAAATAGTTACCTAGCCATACCATTATTCTAAACATTATATTAAGCAAATAAAACGGTTTTTTTGTGTGTTTTTTGTGTTTTTCCCCCCTAATGTTATTGCTGATAACCAGAAAATAAAAAGTACAGAATGAATAGAGTTATCAACAAATAACTACTTGTGTACCCTGAATAAAAGGGGGGTTGGGGGGAAGGACGGTCTCTCTATTCTGTCCTGCCAATGAAATATCTGTCCCTTTTCTCGTCTTTTTTCTTTAGAGCTGAGTAGTTTTACCAATGCAAGCTCTTACATGAACTCTGGCTCAAAAATAGATGTCTCTGAGTCAGTACAGCTTTGCTTTCTTTTTTATTTTTTAACCCTCGATGTATTTACTGCACAAGCAATATTATCACAGCTGTACTGGAAATAAGAAGTGCAAAAATTCACCCATAACTTTATCAATGTAAATATGTGAAAAGTGAAAATTTTTCCACGTTCCATATACTAATGCAGTTAATCATAATGGAATGGTTAACAGTTATTGAGTATCTGTATATATAAAAGCCTAAGCAACTGGACAACCGGTTGACCGATCGCTATGACGTGCACTGACCACCAGTGGGAAGACATTTAATGCAGGAGCTGTCCCCTCATGGTCAGTGTGCTCCCATAGCTGGAGCACCGCTCAGCTGATTGACAGGTGCCACGTGCTGGGCTCATGGCTGGCGAGCGCAGCTGTGGTGACACGAGCCTCACCCGCCTCTGTGGGAGCAGGCACAGCGGGGCCGGAATGAGCCAGAGTGGCACAGCGCTCAGCTGGGGCTTGGGCTCCCTCCCGGCTGCCTGAAGCTTTGTGCACTACTACATGCCTCAGGGGATGTTGGACTAACGGCTTCGGCCCAGGCTTATGGGGATCGAGCCCAAACCAACAGTCCAACATCCCTCGAGGGTCCCAGATTGCGAGAGGGCACAGGCCAAGCTGAGGGATCCTACTGGTGCATGAATCCGTGTAGTGGGCATCTAGTATACTATATGCCAGAATTTGTGCTAAGTACTTCAAATAAATGTTTTCTTGTATACTGTTATTTTTTTGTTGGTTTTACCAACAGCTTTTGTTTAATTAAAATATATGTATATTTAATTCTTTATTGTTTATAATATTATAGATGTCTCCTTTTTCCCCCATTGACCTCTCTCTGGCCACTCCCATCCCCCAGCATATGCCCTCACCCCCCTACGTCTGTGTTCATTGGTTATGCTTATAGGCATGCATACAAATCCTTTGGTTGATCTCTTATCTCCCCACTCCCACCATCCCTGCCTTCCCTCTGAGGGTTGACGGTCTGTTCAATGCTTCTCTGATCTGAATCTATTTCTGTTCATCATGTTTGTTTATGTTGTTGATTATATTCCACAAATGAGTGAGA